AGATTTCTACCAACTTCTGCATTCTGAAATTGACCAAACATGCAATCAAGATGTGTTGATTATCACTGGTGATTGGAATGCAAAAGTTGGAAACAAAGAAGAGTTACTGGTAGTTGGAAAATATGGCCTTGGTGACAGAAATAAGGCTGGAGATTGCATGAGAGAATTTTGCAAGATCAATGACTTATTCATTGCAAAACCTTTTTCTAACAACATAAACAGCGGCTATACACGTGGACTTCGCTAGATGGAGCACATAGGAATCAGATTGACGACATCTGTGGCAAGAAGCGATTGAGAAGTTCAATATCTTTGGCCAAAACAAAGACAGGAGACAGATCAACTGCTCGTATGCACGTTCAAGTTGAAGTTGAAGACAATTAAAACAAGTCCACAAGAGCCAAAATATGACCTTGATAAAATCCCTCCTGAATTTAAAGACCATTTAAAGAACAGATTTGATGCACTGAACACCAATGACTGAAAACCAGAAGAATTGTGGGATGACATAAAAAACATCATCCATGAAGACAGCAAGAGGTCATTAAAAAGACAGGAAAGGAAGAAAAGACCAAAATGGATGTCAGAAGAGACTGTGAAACTTGCCCTTGAGTGGAGAGTACTAAAGTAAATGGAAGAAATGACAAGATTAAAGAGCTGAACAGATTTCAAAGAGCAGCTCGAGAAGACAAAACCAATTACTATAATGAAATGTGCAAAGACATGGAGTTCAAAAACAAAAGGGAAGAACAAGCTCAGCATTTTTTAAGCTGAAAGAACTGAAGAAAGAATTTAAGCCTCGAGTTGCAATACTGAAAGATTCGATGGGCAAAATATTGAATGATTTGGGAAACATCAAAAGAAGATGGAAGGAATACAGAGAGTCACTGTACCAAAAATAATTGGTTGATGTTCATCCATTTCAGGAGGTGGTATATGATCAAGAACCAATGGTACTGAAGGAAGAAGTCAAAGCTGCACTGAAGGAATTGGTGAAAAACAAGGCTCCAGGAATTGATGGTATACCCATTGAGATGTTTCAACAAACAGATGCCCCGCTGGAGGTACTCACTCAACCTGGCCAATTGACTGGAAGGACCCATATTTGTATCCATTCCAAAGAAAGGTGATCCCAAAGAATGTAGAAATTATTGAGCAATATCATTAATGTCACATGCAAGTAAAATATTACTGAAGATAATTAAAAAATGGCTGCAGCAGTATACTGACAGAGAACTTCCAGAAATGTAAGCTGGATTCAGAAGAGGATGTGGAACAAGGGATATCATTGCTGATGTCAGATGGATCTTAGCTGAAAGCAAAGAATACCAGAAAGGTTATGTTTTATTGACTATGCAAAAGCATTTGATTGTGTGGATCATAACAAATTATGGATAACATTGAGAAAAATGGGAATTCCAGAACACTTAATTGTACTCATGAGGAACCTGTACATAGATCAGGAGGCTGTTGTTCGAACAGAACAAGGGGATACTCCATGGTTCAAAATCAAGAACGGAGTGCACGTAAGTTGTAACCTTTCACTATACTTATTCAATCTCTATGCTGAGCAAATAATCCAAGAAGCTGGACTATATGAAGAAGAACGTGGCATCAGGATTGGAGGAAGACTCACTAACAACCTGTGATACGCTGACGACACAACTTTGCTTGCTGAAAGTGAGGATGACTTGAAGCACGTACTGATGAAAATTAAAGTCTAAAGTCTGCAGTATGGATTACAATTCAATATAAAGAAAACAAAAATCCTCACAACTGGTCTAATAAACAGCTTCATGATAAATCGAGAAAAAACTGAAGTTGTCAAGGACTTCATATTACTTGGTTCTACAATCACCACAAATGGAAGCAGTAGTCAAGACATCAGATGACGTATTACACCAGGAAAATCGGCTGCAAAGGACCTCTTTCAAGTGCTGAAGAGCAAAGATGTCTCCTTGAAGACTAAGGTGCATCTGACACAAGCCATGGTATTTTCAATTGCCTCTTAAGCATGTAAGAGCTGGACAATGAACAAGGAAGACCAAAGAAAAGTTGATGCTTTTGAGTTGTGGTGTTGGTGAAGAATACTGAAAGTACCATGGACTGCCAGAAGAACTAACAAATTTGTCCTGGAAGAAGTGCAGCTGGAATGTTCCTTGGGAGTGAGAATGGCCAGACTTCGTCTCACCTACTTTGGTCATGTTGTCAGAAGAAAGTATTCCCTGGAGAAGGATGTCATGGTTGGTAAAGTGGAGGGTCAACGAGAAAGGGGAAGGCCCTCAACGAGATGGATAGACACAGTGGCTGTAACAGTGGGCTCAGATGTAGCAAAGATCATGAAGCTGGCTCAAGACTGGGCAGTGTTTTGTTCTGCTGTGCATAGTGTTGCTGTGAGTCGGAAATGATTCGATGGCACCTAACAACAACAACGACGATGACGACTGCCTGAGAGTGCTCTAAAGGGGGAGGGTCACGCCTGGAGAGCTGCCAGTGGCTCATCTAGCAGCACCTTCCTCAGTCTTCCGAACCCAACCGGCTGGCGCCTTCCCCATGTCACCCAGCGTACACGGACCTGGATGGGACCAGCAGCTGCAGATGTTCAGAGCAGGCCCAGGCTGGGGGCGGTGCTCGGCACATAGTGAGAGGCGTCCCTTCTGGGCACTCGGCACATTGGGGTGCTCGGTACACAGGGGTGCTTGGCACACCATGGGGCACAGTTGTGGGATGTGCACAGGGGAGGGGCAGAAAGGCCCTTGGAAGTGGTGCTTCTGGGAGATGGGTGGGGAGCGGGGACATAGACACTACCTTGCGCTGACAGAACGTGGAGCAGTAGTTGACCTTGTGGCAGCCGGTGCACTCGCTCAGGGCCTCCCGGCCACAGTTGACGCAAGACTGCTGCGAGAAGGACAGAGCAGTCAGCGACTTGGATGTGCAGATGGGCCCACACCCTCTGCCCAACAGCTCTGCCACCCACAGAGCCAGCACCCCACTAACCGTGTGGGTGGCACACCCTCACACAGTGTCCCCCCAGAGTCGCCCTGGGACACGGGGCACCACGACATCACAGTCAGCGATGCTCCGGCTGGTGACGCCCCAGTGGATCCCACCCGCCCACCACAGGGCTCTCGTCTGCATGCAGGGTAGGCTGGCAGGGCACCAGGTGGCATCAGTACCATGATGACCAGTCCTGCATGCCCAGCCACTGTCTTGAACCCTCTGCCCACCATCCTGACACCAGCCATTTCGTGTACTCTCCTTAGATTACATGACTGGAAGTTCTGAGCACCCTGGGGGCTGCAAGTGAATAATGCTGTCATTAGTTCCTGGGGCGCGATTCATGAGAGGCCTTTACAAACGTGCACCCCTGTCTGTGCAGCCCCAGGAGTGGGGGCACACGAGCCGGCCAGGGGGAGGGCAGCAGGAGAGACGAGGGCTGGTCCCCAGGAGCACGCGCTGTGGAAAGCAGGTCAGACCTGGGCTGGAGGCCACTGCGGGCCAGGAACCCAGCACTCCTGCTCGGCAACACAGCTGCACCCTAATGCCTCTCGGTTCCTGACTGATTCCTGCTCCTTTCCCCACAAAACGTGTGCCAGCATTTCCCACTGCAAAACGCCAGCACGTTCCCTTGTTCACCAACGTGAGCACTGAGTGCTGGCAGGGTAGTTCACTCTGCCGCCTGCCTCCACTTTAAATGACCACGACTTGGAGCCTGGAAACCCACAGAGAATGTCTTCAAAGATCTCACTCAATCCAAGCAGGGGGCCAGGAGTGCTGCCTGGCTGGCCCCAGCCTGTCCCCCACTGCACCACGCCCCACAGACCGTCCACCCGGATCTCGACCACGCTCCGTGGGGCAGTCCACCATGCCCCACCCCAGGGTATCGCCCCTGCCCCTCAAAACACCACTGACCCTGGAACTACCGACCCTGCCCTCCCCCACATCCCTGCCCCAGGGGATTACCCACCTGGGCTCAGGGGATCTTGCAAGAACCCTCTTGCCCCCACAGGGGCTAGAAGGCCCCACTGAGCCCTGGATGGGCAGCGATCCTGTTTCTTTGCTCCCCTCTTGACAACTGACCAAAAGTGCGCTTTGGTGAGGGGCAGTGGGGATTTGAAACAGGAGAAAACAGTTACTGGGCTGTTTCTTCAAGCCAAGCCCCGGGGGAAGCCCTTCCAAAGTGAGGAGACCTGAACATGCAGGTGGTCTGGGCCCGAGCTTGGGCTCGGACCCAGCAGCACCAGGAAGCCTATGAGTCCTGACACCAAAACCAAAGCAAACTCACCACCATCGAGTTGATACCGAATCATAACGACCCGTTTTGGGTTTCTAAGGCAGTCAGTCTTTACAGAAGTAGACTGCCCAGTCTTCCTTCTGTGGAGCGGCTGGTGGGTTTGAACCACCAACACTCTGGTTAGCAGTCAAATGCCTTGGGCACTACACCACCAGAGCTCCTTGTGAGTCCTCATCAACCAGGGCAATCGAGACCCCTGCCCCCCACAAGCTCTGCTGTGGGGCCCACCACCGCAACCCCTGCGGCCTAAGACCTGGGCAGGGAACCCCCCCGGGGTCTCCCCCTGGCCACTGTGTCTGCAGGCCTCTGGGCCCATCTCAGGTCCATCCAGGGCCCAGGAGTATACTGAGGGCCAGGCCTCAGGCCTGTCCTAGCCCTACAGCAGGTGGTCCTCGCCACTGGAGTCCAGTGCCACTCCAAGATCAGAGTGACTATGGGTTAGTGTCCTCAACACCCTTGGCAGGTCAGGTGGGGATGCAGGCTTACAGGAATCCCCAGGTCACAGAGAACAGGATGCAGCAGGTGCTATGGGACCCTGCACCTACACAAGGGAATGCCATCTGGGCGCTGGCTGTACTCAGTCCCTGGGGCTGCCCTGACCCCGCAGGAGGAGGCCCTGCCATGCGGTCCCCACTGACACTCAGTCTGGACAGGGTCAGGTGACCACTGAGCTTTCCACTCATCTCTGATGAGCCCGTTGGCACCAGGTGACACTTAACTCCCGGAAAGAGAGCTAGGGGATAGAGGATGCCTTCAGGGGCTGGGAGACACTTGGCCGCACAAGTTCTAAGTCATGTGTGGCACAGGCCCAAGACCCTGTGGCTGGCCACCTCAGTGCCCTTGCCAGCCCTGGAAGGGCACCCACTTGCCACATGCCTCAGCTGCAGCAGGGTCATGAGCACGGTGTCCCTGTCACTGGAGCCTCCCAGTTACCCTCAGGCTGGATCCGGGGTTTTGCTGGATGAGGTCTCTGTTTACCTTGGAGCAGACACAGGTCTCTGCAGGCAAAGATGCTCTCATGGGATCCACCTCCTCGTCCCCTGGCTTTTCCGCCCCTTGCCTCTCCCCCCATCCTCTGCTTCTCAGGATGCCACCGTGTCCTGTACACTGGCAGCTTCAGTGTCAAAGCCTGGGTTTCCCCCCTACCATCACACAAGCACTCCCTGCAGGTAACACTGATATTAAGTCTTGGAGAAAAATTACAAAACCAGCAGCACCTGTTCAGTGACTGGGAAGGTTCCCAGCAGGTAACTGGTTCCACTGGTATTTAAGAACCAAGTTAAAGACAGTCCTCCTTTTAAAATTAAGTCGATAATTCTTGTAGTGCTCTTTCTAGGGTAACTTGTGGCTGATAGCATCATTTACAGCACCCCTCCCACACATATACACACATTACATGAGGGGCTGGGCCAGGGTCTCGGGCCACAGGTTCGTCTGTGCACAAATGCGCTTGGTAGCCACTGCTTTGGGGGCACTTTCCTGGAGTGTGGGATGGAGTAGAAGCACCATGCCCTGCCAGGTAGAGCCGACCTTAATGATAAAGCATAGCTTTCGGGGCCTCCATTTGCCAAAGTGGCATGACTCCATATGAGAAGCAACAGCTGCAAACATTCATTGATAACTGGAATATGGAATGTTCAAAGTATGAATCTAGGAAAATTGGAAGTTGTAAAAAATGAAATGGAATGCATAAAGATCAATATCCTAGGCACTAGTGAGCTGAAATGGACCAGTTTTGGCCATTTTTAAGCAGATAACCATATGATCTACTATGCTGGGAATGAAAGAATAAAGCAGAATGGCGTGGCATTCATCACAAAGAATATTTCAAGATCTATCCTGAAGCACAATGCTGTCACTGATAGGATAATATCCATACACCTACGAGGAAGACCAGTTAATACTACTATTACTCAAATTTACACACCAACCACCAAAGCCAAAGATGACGAAACTGAAGATTTTTATCAACTTCTGCAGTCTGAAATTGACCAAACATGCAATCAAGATGTGTTGCTTATCACTGGTGACTGGAATGCAAAAGTTGGAAACAAAGAAGAATCACTGGCAACTGGAAAATGTGGCCTTGGAGATACAAATAATGCTGGAGATCGCATGAGAGAATTTTGCAAGACCAATGACTTATTCATTGCAAATACCTTTCTCAACAACATGAAGGGTGGCTCTATACATGGACTTCGCCAGATGGAATACACAGGAATCAGACTGACTACATCTGTAGGAAGAGGTGATGGAGAAGCTCAGTATCTTCAGCAAAACAAGGCCAGGAGCTGATTGTGGAACAGATCATCAACTGCTCATATGTAAGTTCAACTTGAAGACAATTAAGTCCAAGAGAGCCAAAATATGACCCTTGATTATACCCCTCCTGAATTTAGAGACCATCTAAAGAATAGATTTGATGCATTGAACACTAATGACCAAAAACCAGAGGAATTGTGGGATGACATCAAGAGCATCATCCATGAAGAAAGCAAAAGGTCATTAAAAAGACAGGAAAAGAAGAAAAGGCCAAAATGGATGTCAGAAGAGACTCTGAAACTTGTGCTTGAACGGAGAGTACCTAAAGCAAATGGAAGAAATGACAAGATCAAAGGGCTGAACAGAAGATTTCAAAGGGAAGCTAGAGAAGACAAAGCCAATTATTATAATGAAATGTGCAAAGACACGGAGTTAGAAAACCAAAAGGGAAGAACATGCTCACCATTTCTCAAGCTGAAACAACGGAAAAGAAAATCTAATCAAGTTGCAATATTGAAAGATTCTACGGGCAAAATATTGAATGATGCAGCAAAAATTAAAAGAAGATGGAAGGAATACACAGACTCACTGTACCCAAAAGAATTGGTCGATGTCCTGGTTCATTTCAGGAGGTGGCATATGATCAAGAACCAATGGGGTTTAAAGAAGAAGTTGAGGATGAATTGAAGGAATTGGCAAAAATCAAGGCTCCAGGAATTGAAAGAATACCCACTGAGATGTTTCAGCAAACAGATGTCACACTGGAGATACTAAGCTATGCCAAGAGATTTGGAAGACAGCTACCTGGCCAACTGACTGGAAGAGATCCACATTTGTACCCATTCCAAAGAAAGGTGATCCCACAGAATGTAGAAATTATTGAACAGTATCATTAATATCGCACACAAGTAAAATCTTACTGAAGATAATTCCAAAACAGTTGCGGTGCTATATTGACAGAGAACTTCCAGAAATGCAGGCTGTATTCAGAAGAGGACATGGAACAAGATATATCACTACTGATGTTAGATGGATCTTGGCTCAAAGCAAAGAATACCAGAAAGATGTTTACTTGTGTTTCATTGACAGTGCAAAGGCATTCGGTTGTGTGAATCATAACAAATTATGGATAACATTAAGAAGAATTGGAATTCGAGAACACTTAATTGTACTTATGAGGAACCTGTACATAGACCAGGAGGCTGTTGTTTGAACAGAACAAGGGCATACTTCATAGTCTGAAATCAAGAAGGGAGTGTGTCAGGGTTGTATCCTTTCACCACACTTATTCAATCTCTATACTGAGCAAATAATCCGAGAAGCTGGACTATAT